CTCGACCCACTGGATTGGCCCACCATGGGAAGCCCATTTTATTATCTCAAACAAACAAGGGATAATTTTTTGTTTAAATATTTTTAACACTTTTTCCTTTGTTTAGTCATCGCTTAAATATGGTTTGTAAACGAGTGTCTTATTTTTAAAAAATTATATATAGTTGTCACCTTACATTTTGACATATCATGAGTTTCGAAGAGACTTAAAGAAACACTTAAATATATTTTAAATTCATGTAAATATAGCAATTTTTAATTTTAGTTTTTTTATATTTTTTAATTGATTTTGATTTTTACTAATTTTAAAAGTTTTGAAAAAGGTTTCCGTCATTATTTTGTGATAATATAACATGCATCTTATTAGGTTTATGCTCAATTAACGAGGCATGTCATTAATAAGTGATAATAATAAAAAATTAAATTTATGAAAATATTAAAAAAATGTATTTAAGAAAAGAATATAGCTATCAAAATTAAAATATATTGTATTCCAAATTTTTTTCAAAGGACTGACAAAATATAATTAAGTAAAAAATTTGTTACTCGGTCTATTTTTTCTTAAAATTCAACTCCAAATCACATTTTAAAAATTTTCTCTGATGAGGTTCTAAATTTAAATGATTAGTATTATTTATCAAAAATTAAATATTATTTTATTTTTATCTTAAACAATTATTACATTGCAAAATTTTATTAAAAATTACTCTTTTTTTATTCTTTGCTTTTTAATACAGTTTTTAATATGCAATTTAAATTTATTTATTTTTTCTATTTGGGTTCTATAAAAATAAAAAAAATCATTTAAAAAACATCTTTAAAATTATAATTGTAATATATGTTGACAATAATGATGGAGGTCAGATATATTATCCGATTTTGCTATTCTACTAATGGAATATTGTACACTTAGACAGAACTTTGAGTGACTAAACCTCTTATTAATCAATGATTAAGTACATGAATTATGTAAATTGATGGAAAATGTTTTAGAGGATCATATTTAGGATTCGACGTACCTTAGGTGATATTAAAACTTAGATACTTTAGGTAACTTAGTTGGAATGAGAGAAAGATTACGGTTTAGATATTTGATTATGGCTAACTATGTTGACTCTAAATTAAAATATAGATAAATTTGTAAGAAAAATCTCTTTACTAAAACTATGACACTGAAGAAGGAGGCTATCCAACAATAATGACAAAATGTTAATGTGTGTGATTTTCCATTAGAATAGTAAAGTTTTATAGATGTTTAGGGTAACAAAATAATTTTTTTCTACTTTTTTAGACCACAAAATTTAAAAAGATAAATAAGCACACCTTGTTTTTGAAGTATTATATTAAAAAATTCTTTTATAATAGCTCAAACATATAATTATGTTCAATATATCATTGAGATTTGAGTTGTGGTTAAGTGTGATGATTTGTAAAGATAATATAAAAAAGACTATTTTCTTAGTGACTTCAAATTTCTATTTAGGATGTTAAGTAATTGTGATAATATAGAGTACTTTTCTCTTGACAAGCTTAGATTTTTCCTAAATCTTTTTCTTATAAGGTTGTTTTGCTAACCGAGATACAAATATTCAACTATTGTTTTTATGAAATATTATAGTGTAGTAGTTTAGTTTTAATAATAAATATGGTTACTTGATTATGATTTAAAAAAGAGAGAGATAATTTTAGATTGAACCCTAGTATTTGTAGAGGTGATTAAACTACAAGCATTTTTACTCATAATTTGCAAGATTTATCATTTAAAGGTAAGTGATAAGTCTATGATTTGATATATTTTATGCCTTATATTTATACACTTAAATTCTATTTTATATATATTTACACTGATTATGTTATTAATTGTTACAATTTAGCTGAAAGTTATTATTAGTGCATTATGAAGATATTTTGGATAAAAATTAAATGATTTTATCCCTTGGTCATGGCATGTGAATTTGAGTTTTAATTTTAAATTTTAAATTTAAACTTAAATAAATATTTAAATATGAAAATTTGGATCAATTTTCAATTGAAAGTATAAAATTAAAATTTTGAAGATTGACAAATTAAATATTCTCTCTTAAAGATTGAGATCATCTCTTGAAGGCCAAATCACGATCCTATATCTTATTCTACACTTTATATAAATAAACCTTATGCCCTTAAGAGATGATACTACTCTACACACCTTCTTCTCCCTCTTAATTCTGACTTATTTGACTGTTAAGAGTTATTGGAGATCATTGGTAAAGATAATGAACATTCTTTCAGAGTTCGAACGAGTAATTGAATGCCCTGTGGAGAACAAGAACTCTTTTTATCTTTTTTCCTTTTGGGTTTTTCTTATTTGAATTCTCTTTTGTGTTTTATAGATTAGTTCATTATGTTTTTCGTTATTTATTTTGTTGAGTAGCTAAATCCATAGTTAGGGTTATGACAGATCCTATTGCATACTCTATATGATTTTTATGTTTAGTAATATTGGTTTCTTTTGTATTTAGTTTTTATCCTATTGAATTGAATTGTTCATATTAAGAACTGATCACTTTTAGTATCTTATAGTTAATTGCATTGTAAGCGATCATACCACATGTAATTAATGGAATTATAGCATAAAACATGACAAATGGTTAGGCGGATCAAATTTAAGCACTCTCTTCCAATAGTTATTATATTAACAAATACATATGTTCTTTATGTTTTCTCTACCTTTTACCTTATATGATCATTGAGGATCGTTTAGGTAAAAGAATATTAACACTACATTATTATTGGATGTTAATAGATTAAGTAAGAGTGCTTGGTAAAAACTAAATTAAATAACATTGATATTAAACTAAAAAAAAAAACATAAAAATGTGTAATAGGTAAAACCCTATGTCCTAGGTTTTTCTCATCCAATTTCTATCATCCAACTATTTATTCACATACAAAAACAAAATAATTGATTTCATACATAAACTTTTAAGTGATCCTTAAATATGTTTTTAGATAGGATTTTGGTTTAAACCCTAACCTAAAGGCTATCAAATCACTAAAATAAAGTGTAAAGTTCTTAAAATCAAATTAAAGAGATCATAGTTTTATCTACCAAAGCCTTAAATTGTGTTTCTTCTTTTTCAACCTCAAATGGTTGATACTCAAACTTGCATTCCTTGTTTGAACTTAGAATGTTGAGGTGAAAAAGAGATTAGAACATGATGAAAGAGAATTTTGATGTGGATAAAATATTGATTGGATTAAAAAAGAAAGAAAAAAAACAATGGTCATATACAAGTTGCCCTAATCTTGCAAGAAAACATAAGGAAATGAATGCCGAAATTTGTTAAGTATATGAAAGAAAAATGCTTCATATGACCCATCTAAGTTGACTTAAAAGAAAATAAAGAAGAGTTATTACGTTTATCTATTTTTTACCATGCATTTTTATATGGTAAAAGTTTGACATACTTATATTCTCATTCTTTAATTATTATTTTACTCAAATACCCTATATTTTAAGGGGTAATACTAAAATTTAGTAAAATACTAAACTACCCTATATTATTTTATTTAACTTTACCAATTAAGAATTTAAATTTCTCTTACCTGTCCTCACTTAGCCATGTGACATAGTTTACAGAGAGGAATTTTTTTATTTATTAATCATTATTCAATTTATTCTATTTTCATTACGTATTTATATAAACAAATTTTCATTAAATAATTTATTTATATATTTTCAAATTCAATATATTATCAAAAATTTTAAAATTTATATTTTATTTATTTCATTATTTAATTAAAATATTTATTAATTAGAACAAATTAGTAATAATATATTATTTTTTGTTACGCGTATTATGATTATTATTATTTTACACACGTATATGTGGGTGAGAAAAAGATAGAGACACTAATATAACCCTTCCACATTTTGAATAATCAATTTACTCCATCTATCTTAAATTAAACACATAGGTTTTAGACCTTTCTTTCCCCCTCATTTGCTTGTCTCTGTTTCTTCTTTGAGTTACCATTCTTCGTTGTTTTCTCATTGTCGTGTCTTTATGTTTGTTTCTCTCCTATTCATATTGTACTTATTTTCATAAATGTGTAGGGTCAGTTAGTTTGAGATATTATTGCTTTCTTTAATTTGGCTAATGTACTGTAGTGGCGTGATTTCTTTCATTTGACGAATTCCACTATGTATGTATATATATATATATATAGATAGATAGATAGATAGATAGAGATAGAGAGAGAGAGAGAGAGGATATTATTTTAGACACCATGAATCTGTCTCTCTATTGAACATCGATCAGTGGCCATACAACGAATGCACTAACTGCAGCCTACACCACCAAAAAACCATTTGTTCCTATGAACCAATCAGTGCCTTACTGTACTCCAATGAGTTAAGTGGGTTTGACATTTCTTTTGCAGTGGAAAGTGGTAAAACTATTGGGCCAGACAAATTTTAAATACAACTATTTCAGTTATTTTTAATTTTTTTTCAAAATTAATATTTTATAATTTTATCTTGATAATTATTATTTTCATAAATTGGATAAATAAAGTTACTGGTCAATAATAAAAATTAACATTTTACAGGTAAATAAATTAGACCACCTTGAATCTAGATGAAAAAAAAAAAGATGAACCAAGTAAAAAAATAAAGTTAAAATTTTAAAATATAAATTCTATAATTTAACAAACTTAGTCGACCCATTTTTTGGACTCTAATATGTCAACATTATATCTAATTTTTATTCTCTTTTTGAAGTCATGCGGAAGCATCTTTCACTGGGAGGAAAAGGCAGACAGTTAATTTCTCGAATATAATAATGACTTTAATAAGGTTGACATTATCGATGAAAAACCTTATGTTGTGCTGAACCTTTGTGATTCTAGACGTTTTGACTTGTATTATATTGGTTACCTTGTCCACTTTTGTTTCCTTGCGTTTGATTTATTCCCAGTATTTAATATTCCCACTGTAATGTTCAAACTTCGAACCCACTCCTCCTATTAGAGTTTGAACGCAATTTTCCAACGCCACCAAAAATACAAATATCCACGATCCTAATCTGTATGTCAACAAAACCCACGAGTTGGCACATATATATACACATTCAATTAACCACCTTTTTGGCACATTCCCATTCTCTTATGATCAACATGGCCCTCCAAAGGCAAATTATCACACCCCTTTTGGTTATATTCATGATCCTCCACTCTTATGCACTTCATGAACCTTCTAATTGGGAATATGAACCAAGTAGAGGTAGTGTCAGAGCTGCATATTGGCCTTCGGGGAGTGATTTTTCACCCTCTTCTATTGACACAAAGTACTTCACTCACATCTATTATGCCTTCATAGAACCCGACCCACTATTTTTCAACCTTAATGTCACCGAGTTTCATAAAAAATGGATACCTAACTTCATCAACGGGCTCCGCTACCGTCACCCGCCTGTGAAAACTCTTCTGTCAATTGGGGGAGGTGGCAGCAATTCAACCGCGTTCTCTCTCATGGCTAGCACCAAGCAAAATCGTCAAGTTTTCATAAAATCCACCATCCACGTGGCACGCGAATACGGGTTCAACGGTCTTGATTTGGATTGGGAGTTCCCAGAAACTGAACTTGATATGTCTAACCTTGGTCTATTGTTTCAAGAGTGGCACCAAGCGTTGGTGGTGGAAGCTCAAATTCAGAGAAAACCGCGTTTGCTTTTGACTTCTGCGGTGTACTATGCTTCCACAATTAAGCTTATTGGTAATGGGCCTAGATCATACCCGGCCCAAGCCATTACCAAGTACTTGGATTGGGCTAGCCCCATGTGCTTTGACTACCATGGTACATGGGCCAATTTTACGGGCTTTAATGCTGCTTTATATGATCCAAATTCTAATATAAGTACCCGCTATGGGATCGGGTTGTGGATCGAATCTGGTGTGCCACCCGAAAAGCTGGTCATGGGCTTACCATTATACGGGCGGGCATGGAAGCTCCAGGATCCGAATGTACATGGGGTTGGGGCTGAAGCGGTTGGTGAAGCCACTGATACGGATGGTACTATGGACTACGATGAAATTTTGGTGTTCAACAAAGATAATGGTGCCAATGTTGTGTATGATGAGGTGGCTGTGTCATTCTACTCTTATGCGGATACTACTTGGATCGGGTATGATGATGGACCCTCCATTACGAAGAAGGTTCGGTTTGCTAAGTCAAAGGGCTTGAAGGGCTATTTCTTTTGGGCTATTGGGAAGGACAAGGATTGGACCATCTCAAGACAAGGTAACCCACCCCTCCTTGTTGACTTTACCAAAATTATAATTTTGTTGACTTGTTCCTAACTTGAAATTATTATTTTTTAAAATCTATTTTTTAGTTCTCATAAGCAAAATTTAATATGCGTTTTTTAGTTTTGTAAGTTTTAACATTTTTAAAATAGCTTTTGTCACTGTTTAGTATTATGTGACATAAGTATAGTTATACCATGTCATATGTTATTACAAAATAGTCCATGACAGTATAATTAGATATATGCCGTGTTATTATTAAAATAAAATATATTTTTTAAAAATATATAATTTATGAGGATAAAACAAATGAAATTTTTTAAGAAACTAGAGTAACATATTTTAAGTCTAATTTTTAAATAACGAAACTTAATATATGCATTAATCATTTGCCAAATTGATATTAGAGATTCGTGATATGGGAACTATTTTGATAAAAGTAGCTCACAATCAAAAGTATTGAGTGTAATAACTATCATGAAAAACTAATCTGTATGACCCTCTTTTAGAACAAAATTAACTTTTTTTTTCCCTTCTTTCTTGTTGTCTTATCTTTTAGCTTATTTGTTTTTAAATTTTTATTCTGATTTTTATTACATTTATTTTGGTAGCTTTGGTTAATTGAATATGGATTATCTTTATATTTTATTCGCAACGTCTGAATTTCATTTTTCGACAGCTTCGAATACATGGGGACACTGATGGCAATACCAAGTTTATCACGTATTGTTGTTTGGCTTATTAGAATTTTACTGAAGTGGGAATTTCAAGTAATCTGCAACTTTGGTAATTGATGAAGAATCTTAGTATTGGGATCAATAATAATAGTATTTTTTACATTTTACTTTTATACATATTATTTTAACAGTATTTTTCATATTATATTTTTTCTTTCTCACATTTATTTTCACTTCTTAAATTTACGGCAAAATATCATTATCCTTTTCATGATTTGGCCATATGCTTTATTGATTTCAGTTCACATACTTGAATACTGTGACTATGTAACAATGAATATAAAAACACATTGGGAATTTCAGATAAAAAACTAATCATGCATCATACATGAGTCATTAAGGCATCGGGATAAAGCAATCATCGGATGCAATCTGAATAGATAGCACAAAACATTGTATTTTATTTTTTATGGTTGATGGGCGTTGACTGATTGCACCCTAATTTAACACAAATTGCCGCAATATATATATTAATAATAAATAAATATTTACTTTAGTCTCTTAAAAATATGTAATTTCAATCAAATTAATCTCTTACATTTTAAATTTTAGTCTCTAATATTAAAAATTGTCAATCATGTTAGTTCTTCCTGTTAAGAGATGTTAAAATTAAGTAACGGAATGATAATTTGTTACATTAAGTGACACTTGACATTGACCCAAAATGATGTTTTAAAATCTTCTAAAACTATTATTATTATACTTGAATTTTAATATTTTTGAACAATAACATTTTTTGTCTTTTACTTCTCCTTCTTCTATGGAATCTTTTTTCTTCCTTCAACCACTAGTATAATGACGTCGTGCTCCTTCATCTTGAGTTTTCTCACTTGAACCACCAAATCTAAGCCTCAAATATGTGGGTGGACAACTAATTGTTATCAAATTTAGTGAAAAGATCTCATATATAGGACATTAACATTAATGTGGGTTCTTGTGAAAGTTGTCATTAATGAAACTCTCATAGTCCTTTATGATGATTTTTCTATAGTTCAAACCCTCCTTGAAGCTAACAAGAGATAGATTGTTATAGTTTTCCTCAAACATGTTGATGGAATTGCTAGTTTTATTGTTCTACATCTAACAATCTATTACACCAATTGCTAAGAAAAATAAGATGTCATGGAAGAAGAAGTAAAAGACGAGGAAGAATCTTATTTCTCAAAAATTTTAAAATTTTAAAATAAAAATTTTCTATTTTTTAAAGATTCTAAAATAATGTTATTTTGTGTTGCAGTCATGTGTTACTTAACTTGATAAATCATAATTCTTTTACTTAATTTTAATGTCTCTTATCCGTAAAGACTAACATAATTAACAATTATTAATTTAAAAATTAAAATTTAAAATTTAAGAGATTAACTATAGATAAGTTACATATTTTAGAAATTAAAGTGAAGATTTATCCTATTAATAATTAATTATAAACTGGGTTAATTCTTTTTCTTAAAAGATAAAATAATCCAATTATCAAATTTTAACTCCAAATAATATATGTTTCACTAAACTAATCAAGCATGAAATCAGATCATAAACCCTCAAATTTAGTATATAAGTTCAATCCATTGCAAATGGATTTTCACTTCTCGCCACATATTCCAAAATTCGCAATTAGCGGGTAACATTTTGGCGAATTTTGCATTTTTTATACTATCACTTGAGAGACTAATTAGGTTTGTTGAAGGTTATGTTTAGATCAATGAAAAGAGACAAAAGTGAGATAAAATAGATTAAAATGAAATATAGAAAAATAGAATATAATGGTGTGAAGATTTTATTTCTTAGATATATTATACTAAAATGAAAAAAATTCATCTTACTATTTAAATTGTAAACTAAATGGAATGAATCATAATGATTTTATTCTTATAATACTATTATTTAAAAATATGTATTTCTAATTTAATTTGTATACTTTATTATATCATAATTTTAACAAATGATGCTTTTGTTTGATTATTTTTATTTAAAATATTTCTCTCTTTTTATTCGATTTATTTATGCACCTAGCTTATTAGTTAAAGTTGATTCTTGATTCTTATTTAAATTGTTTTAGATTAATTATTTTTATCATTATTATATGAGTAAATTTTCTTTTTTATTATTTTAATGAATTATCTTTTATACATGAATTACTTGAAGAAAAAAAAAAAGGTCTCAACGTGCCCCATAGCCTTGTCATTTTTTGTGCTTTTGAGCACGTAATCATTAGTTATTGAGGCATGACCTATTTTAAGCATCAACTGAGTTTTTTTGCTTGTTAGGGCCTAACTATGCCACATTACAACAATTGGCTTGCCCGATTTGACTCAAGAAAAAATAATTTTCAATTAATTAAGATATAATTTTATTAAAAATAAAACTATATTTAACTATATATTAAAAAGACAAAATTATATCTAATCTAATATAGTTATAAAAAATTTATAAAATTATTGTTTTTATTCGTTTCTCAATTAGTTATCAAATTACAATTGAGATACTTAATTTATTAAATATAAATTTTTTTATTATTAATGATCATGTATTGCAATTCCTTGTACAACACTTTTCTCGAAGCTAGGGATAATAGTAGCTTTTTTGTTAGACATTATCAACTAAGTTTTAATTAGCATGCATAAACACACACACACATAAAAGCAAAGCTAAGTTGCACTGTGTTCTGCTCCCAACAGTCCCTGAAACCCAACAAACAAAATGTGAAATAATTAACTTGCCAAAGAAGTGATGTGCCTTCTAAAAGCAAGGAATCCCAAGATTTCGTACCAAGAATGAATCTTTATGATATAGTTATTATATAAGGCAGAGGTTATAAACTTATTTGAATAATAGAGGAGGGCCAACGATGGTGCTTAGGATAATCATAAATGAGCTCACTGGATCTTGTTTGGATACATCTAATACGTGAGGATCTTCCAACATGTGATTTGAGGAGCCAACTTCAAGGAAGTAACTTTCTCTTCGACCTTTTTTTAATGAATATTGTTGTCTTGATTTCTTCAACATCTTTTCTAGTTCCAGCTAGGAAATCTCATGTATATTCCTCATATCTATAGTAAGGGATATTTAGAACAACGAAAAGTTAAATATAATGTCTTGCCAATTAAATAAATTTCCTCCTTTTTCAATAGATATATTCTAGCATCCAATCCAGATAATCTATTATACATTAAGCTTAATTACAAAATGATAGAAGTGTCCTTTTGTTAAGAAAGACAGTTGACTAGCTATATGATTATTGGTACTACATAATTAAATATGTTCTTAATATTATCTTCTTGTGAGATTTTAAGAGAAATGTAGGAGAAGCTAAGTACTAATGGGGGGGGGGGGGGCTTAAAACACAATTAAAAAACTTTTATTTCTTGTGTGTATATCATGGTAGAAGGATTATAATTAATAAAAATATAGGATTTGTGGAATTGTAGATGGATTAAGCTAGCACCTCCAATTAAGGGCCAGTATGATAGAGATCCCTTTCATAAACAAAGGGAAACATCAACAGCCAATTATACAACTTTTGCAAATATAGCTTAATTAGAACCATATGATAAAGTTTTCTCCACTTCAAAGGGCACAAACAACAGTCAACATAGTGGGCATTCAACTAAGAGGTGATTTGTTAAATAGAGTTGTTTGGATTAAGAGGCTGCCATTGCTGATTACTCACTGTCTCCTTTTCCCCACCAACTCCCTAGCGTCTCAATTGATTCTCTTCGTTTTGATGATCCTTATGTTATTGTTGGCTTTTTACAATGCAGAAGCACATAAGTGTTTTTCACGTGAAGAAATTATAATCAGAAAGTCCTTCAAAACTCAAATTATGTTTTGTTGTAGTAGAAATATCATTTTTAAATTTGGAGGTAATATAACATCTTAAAATCAATACTGTGTCTGTGCGTTTATAGGTTGGACAATACCAAAACTATTGAAACTCTTTATTGTGCTGGCTTTTTTCGGGATTATATCTTAAAGACAAGGCTATGTTAATTGTGACCTATGATGTATAGCAATTTATTTTTGTTAAAATTTGAGATAACATATATTTTATCTCCTCATAGACTAAATAGTTTTTTTCTTATTCATTTAGTTCTATCTTCTTATATTAAATCAAGCATAGAAAGTTAAAAAACAACCTATTACATAACAATATAAATAAATGCCATTTACCAACACTTTGTTGTCAGATTAATCTTTGTTAATATAAAATTTTTCTGGCAAAAGTTTAAGTGTTAGTATAGGCATTATAGGTTCATACTATTAATACAATACATTATACTAATAAATGTTTTTTAATAAAAATATTAATATAATACATTATTTGTTAGTATAAATTTTTAACAACTGTTTTTTTTTTTTTTTACATAAAACCTATACCAAATGGTTAATCTCATAAAATTTGTTTATGTATCGCTTGATCGACTTGGATTTTAGTTTTCAGAGAATAAAGATTGCTTTGATCGGATTTACTTTTAAAAGTTTTTATTAAAAAATGATGATGATGATAATAATAATAATAATAAAAAAAAAAAAAACCCTTAAATATATATATATATATATATATATATTATTTTATTTTTCAGATTATATTTTCAGTTCATTTCACTGAATCGTTCCTAAACATAGTTATAGCTATATTCGTGAAGATTTAAACATATTTATAGCAGTATATATATATATATATATATATATATATATATATATATATTATATCTCAATATAAATTGAAGTCTAACATTCTAAGTTTGTTCTGATCCTTTGAAATATCCTATTAATCCTTAACACAATCGTGTCTTTTTTCCCCTTTTTTGTTGAAACAAAAGAAAAAGAAATGCATTAAGGCAAAGTTATATTTATTTTATTCTTTGGGATGATTTCCCTCAACTATCAAATAAATTATGAACATTTAATTTAAAACAATTAATTATTGGCATTTAAGAAAATTAAAACTAAATTCTATAATAAATTACAACAGTCACAGATGTTAAAATACATATTTTTTCGTCATTACATTTAGGTTATGTCACCTAAAAGTTTCCTACCAATTGGCAATCAAAAGCGCATAAAATGCGGTTACTATATATTCTTGAAAGAAAACATACTTTCATATTAAAAGGGTTAAAAATAAGCAGAAATTCTTGTTTCCTAAACTTATTAATTATGTAGATTGATTGTCATTGTATGTACAGTGTGAAAATCTAAAT